TATAATATAAAATAATTTTTAATTTCAATTGAATTTTTCCCTTTATCTTTTGCCACTGAATATGTTGCGCCACAATGTTTGGCAACAATGTTGCAGCAGTTGATTTGCAAATTTCCTAATTGGGAATTGCTAACTTCTGTTGCCTACTTTTAAGCAGCAGCGTCAACTAAGCAAGAAATGTATAATATATGAATGTGATGGCTATTAAAGGCTTGACAGATAGAAATGATGGTAGAGCATTGGAAATGACGTAGAGCAGAATATATGCAAAGTTCATACAGCATAGAGCTTTAAGTTGGATCTGAAACAGCTGTTGGGTTGGTAGATATACATGTAGGTATGTATGTAGGTATGTACTCGCACTTGTGAGCTTACAACTTTTCTAAGCACAATCTGTCAATCGTAAAAACTCAACGTATAAGGAAATTCTATTTAGACAAAAGTCCTATTCTTACATCCATGTGGATTTTGTATGACAGGCAGTATAACAGTATGACAGGAAATGTTATTCGTTAAGTTAAATGCCAAAAAGGACAATTGCAGGCTTAGCCAAGACACACACTCTCGCACGCTCTTAAACTACCCGCTTCTCTTTTAACGAAAACACTTTGTAAATTTCCCCTCTCAGCGAGAGAAATCTCTTTTGACGAAACTCGCATTTAACCGTTTAGCACATAGTAAAGACACAAACCAGAGAGCTGAATTCATTGTGTTTGCCAAGCTTCACTTCGGCTGCTGTTAAGAGAGCTTTCGAGCCTTAACGACTTTACGAAATGAAAGCGCGCTCAGAAGAGGAAACGGAAATGAGAGAAGCCCAAGCTGAGAAACTTCCCCGAAGTTAGCTGCGAGTAGGGTATGACGTAGTGCAGTTACGCCCCGTGTGAATAAAAACCTCTCCAGCATCCCAAAATTAAATTTCAAATTTTGCTTCTTTTGCACAATGAAATTTCTTTTTTATTATTTTGTCGCATTCGACTATTTTTCTTTTTTATTTTACACATTTATTTCTTTTTTTTTTTCTTTCTTTCTTTTTTTTGCACACATAAAATTTGGCTTACTTAAACTAAATTATTTTTATGATCTCATTATAAACTTTTGTTATCCGCTCAGTTTCGTTTAAATTTTTATTTTTATTTTTATCGCGCCAATCAACTTTAGTTTACACACAATGCAGTCGTTAGTTGTTAATGCGTGTTAATGCTAGTCAAAAAAAATATTATTACATCCATACATATATGTATGGTATATACATGTATATGTATATATAATATATGTATATTTATTTATTACTTTATTTAGACAGATTTTTTATTGTAACATCTAGTAAAAATTGTAATAGTAGTTGTTTTTTTTTTCCTATCTTTTTTGATATACTTAAAG